CTGATCATGACACTAATATAATGTTAATGTTCATTTGATTACTAAATTATGACAGAAACTCATTTAATGAGATTCCTCATTCTGCTAGATCATAGCTCACCCAAAGACAGTAAAGAACTAATTAACTAAATGTTATTTGGTTCCTGATTAAGCAGATCATTTGATAAATCCATATAAATAAATACATTTTTTTTACTCAACATTGTTATCCATTTACTTGTGTGCTTAAAGAAATACAGTTCCACATCATTTGTTTACATCTTTAAATTTTATTGATGTGTGGGTGTTTCAGTTACACTTGTGTTAAACATATACTGTGAGGATCCCTTAATCAGAGACAGTTGCTAACCATCTATCGAGACCTTATCTCAAAAGTTTAATTTACTTTCTCTTCAAATTACACCCAAAAATTTCAATCTGCTCAATCAGTAGTTCCATTCCGAAACAAGTAGGGCGATGTTTTTCCTGTTGGCACTCTTCTGGGGTAGGCCAGTACTCGACCCATGTAGTCTCACTGATGATATACATGTATCTGAGCACAGGAAAAAGAACAATGCATTGAGCTTTTACAAAAGTTTTAATTACTTTAAAACCTTTTAAAAAAGATAATATCCAACATTTTAAAATGATTTGCCTTTTTTTTTTTTTTTTTTTTTTTACCAAGGTATGAGAAATGATCCAAGGAATTTGGGTTCAAATTAAGCACTTGTTAATATTTATAAACCATATATGAATTCAGAGTAATAAATTTACGGAAAGTATGTTTTTAAGTCTAATGATAGAATAAAAACAGTTTTTTAGCCTAATTTCCAACAAAAAATCAGGTCTTCATCATTAGAGATGTAAATGTCCAGATATTCTGCCTTTTTAACAAAGAACCTATAAAATAACTATATAAATTCTATCCATTAATACCTATGTGAACTTACTGTACAGGAAAACTCTGAGAGGGTGTAAGATTACAGGCCTATTAAAAGTACAATCCCCAGCCAGTCAGATTAGCTAATCCTTCACCAGTTCTGCTGCCTAACCAACATGAACATCAATCTAGAAAAGGGGCCTTCAACCTGTGGTTCAAGAAATGCAAGATGCTCTTTGAAACCTCTGCAATGGCTAACTAACTAATGTAGTGTATAATAACAAATACCAGTGCATCCCAAAAGCTTTAGTGGGGTAGAAAAATTTGATTTCACTTTTTACCAATTTATTCGATAAAACATATCTTATAATAATCTATAATCCATGTTTGACCTCTACAGAACGTTCATTTCCCCCCCTTATTTTAAAAGCTAAAATATGTCAGATATTTAGCAACAAAGTAATAAACTGTGTTTACTGTAATTAAAAACCTATGGAATATTTTTGACTCTAAACTAGCTTCACTAAGGCACACTCAAGGGAAAATGGCTTTTTAGATTTTAAAGGTTGTAGACCCATGCTCCTGAAGCTATTTAAGCAAGCATTATGACATACAACAAACTTACGAGCTGCCAACTCTGTGAATATCAGACGATGAGCCCATGAACAAGTAGGTTTTGCTTGGTTTGAGAGCTAGTGCCTCCCTGCAGTGCTGATAACTAAGGAATGTGCGGATATTTCCCTTTGGACTCTCATCAGTACTTCCTGTTGTAAAAAAAAAAGTATATTAAGGGAGAGAATCCACAATACAAATACAACTGTCATGTCAACGGTTTACATTTAGGAAAATGTTACTGTCCACACAACTTAGGGCTTTATCTTCAGAAGGTTTTTGGGTTCTAAAACACATTTAAATGCATTTGAATGCACAGTGCTGATCTCCAAAGAAGGCACAAAGGGGTTTACATTTGCAATTAGCAGACAGTGTCTGCAGACTTTTTATTTTTTATTTTTTTTGCTTTTCTGCAGACCTTTTTTACACGCTGGCCTTTACATTAAGCAGATCACATTCTAGTGATCAAGTAGAGCATATTCACCGATCGATCAACTGACCGACTGATCGATCAATCACATTTATTTTATATAGCATATTTTAAAACAGCAGGGGTGGCCAAAGTGCTGTACATATAAAGAAGATCAATTTAAGAATGAATAAATAAGATAAAAATAGACATGATAACCAGGTTCACAACAGGAGTATTGCCACACAAATCACAGTCTTAAAAGCAAACGAGTAAAAATTTGTTTTTAAGAGAGATTTAAAAACAGGAAAAGAGGAGGCATGTCGAAAACTTAAGTGTAAATTATTTCTAGTTTTAGGGTCGGTCCTCAGTGATCGAGGTGGGCAGTAGGGCTGAAGCGGCTCAGATGGATATGGTGTTGTGAGGTTGTTCAGAAATTTAAAAACAAATAACAACTTAAAATAAGTTCTTTAATAAACAATGAGCCAGTGAAGAGACGCCAGGATGGGGGAGAAGTATGCATGCCTGCAGCTGTGAGTTACCAAGCAAGCAACAGAGTTCAGCACAAGCTACAAATGGGCATAAGATGCTTGGCTAATTCCTACATACAAGCATTACAGTAGTCCAGACGAGCTGTGAAAAAATCATGGAATTATTTCTCCAAGGCAGTCCTTGTCAGGATTGGCTTCACTTTGGCTATTTGACAAGAATTGCGGATAAACCTGCGGACGGTTTTCCCCGGACGAATCTGAGAAGTCGGCTGCTCCTATCCTGCCTCCCAGCTGCTCTGTTGCTGCAGTAACCTTGGAGATTGAGGATCTCGTCAAACAGGCCCAACAGATTGAACCTGATCCTGGGACCGGGCCACCTAACAGAATCTCCGTACCATCCTCCATTTGAGCTTGTGTCATAAGTTGGATGCACTCATCTAAGTTTTCTGCCCATCCAGGGATCAGTCGAACAGTATCCCACATCAGTCGGCGCTTTTGGTGGCCCTCCTTGCTAAAGGATTTTAAGGAGTTTGTTTTAGCCTGCCCGACCTGCGCACATAATAAACCCTCTCATCAACCTCCTTCTGGATTGCTTCAACCATTACCCATTCCCAAGCGACCCTGGTCTCACATCGCCATCAACTTCATCACAGGTCTCCCCACCTCCAAAGGTATGACAACCATCCTCACAATCATTGATCAATCAAGGCCTGCCATCTTATCTCTTTGAGAAAACTCCCTACAGCACTGCAAACAGCTCAGCTCCTTGTTAAGCATGTTTTTCGACTTCATGGAATACCTCTGGACATTCTGTCTGAGAGTTCATCTCCCAGGTATGGAGAAGTTTTTGCTTGGCTCTTGGGGCCAAGGTCTCTCTCACTTCTGGTTACCACCCCCAATCAAATGCACAAATAGAGCACATGAATCAGGAGTTGGAAGCCAGCCTAAGATGCCTCACAGATTTGGATCCCACTAACTGGAGTAAACGTCTCCCTTGGGTCAAGTATGCACATAATTCCAGTGTCTCTGCCGCCACAGGTCTTTCTCCATTTGAGGTATCCATTGGCTACCAACCACCCCTTTTCCCGTCTGAAGAGGCAGAAATCACTGTACCCTCCGTCCAGCATGAAACCTTCTGGAACCGGGCCAGGACAGCCCTGGGAAGGACCTCCCAGCAGAATCAGAGGTGGGAAAATCGCAGGACAAGGGTTGCCCCATCCTATTGCTGGGCCAGAAGATCTGGCTTTCCACCCATGACATTCCCCTCAAGGCAATGTCACGAAAACTGTCGCCCAAATTCATTGGTCCATATGAAGTGGAGAGGACCATCAGGGAGTCTGCCGTCCGTCTTCGTCTTCCACCCACCTTGCGCATACACCCTACATTCCACGTCTCCCAGGTCAAGCCCATCTCATCCAGCCCTTTGTGCCCGCCCGCTGAACCCCCTTCCCCTATGGACATTGATGGCCACCCCGCCTACACGGTTCGATACATCATTGATGCTCGTCCCTGTGGGCGAGGGTGGCATTATTTGGTGGACTTGGAGGGTTACGGTTCTGAGGATCGCTCTTGGGTCCTGGGATCATACATCCTTGCCCTCCGGTTCCTCTGGACCGCCAGGTGGCGGTCATTGAGGGGGGGTACTGTCAGGACTCCTTCAACGCCAGAGTGTTTGATAGTTTGGGGTACTCTAGCCAAACTGAGTTTTCGCTAAGTCAAGCTGAGTTCTTGTCAACCAGAGTTTAACTTTGTTTTTGTCTTTGCCTCTCGGCAGAAAGTCATCCTGCAAACTGGATTTCTCGGACCTTCACTCCCTGGAAGGATCAACTGAGCTTCAAACTGAGCTGGGATTCAAACAGTAGGTTTGGATCCACTTTCCCCAAGAGATAATTTGAGCTTCTCACTGAGAAAGGGATTGTTTTCCACTACGACCTGTTCAAGTACCGCAGGAAATCTGAGTGGCAGTCAGTTTCTCTGTTCACCAACCATCAACCGCATTCTGGGTAAACCCTGTTCCGCCCTCCACCGAATCAGACAAACACTGGAACCACGGCACACAGACAGTAGTCAAGGATACAACAACTTCTCTGGAAACGTGAGTCGGCAACCAATTCCTCTTCTAGAAGTTTCACGAGTCAAATTCCCCACTGTGCCTGAACTAACCGCTGTGTCTTCCCCTTACTTTACAGTTCCGGTTGAACAGTGTTCAGAGCAACAATTCTCCCCCTGTTTAACTTCTTCAATAAAACCCGTTAAACCTTTTTTCTGGTCTCTCTGTTCGTTTATCTGCATTTGGGTCAGAACTTTGTAACATCATGACATTATGTATCGTTTTTAGCACTACTACATGTCAATCGGAAATGTTTCTGCAGTCATTTTGGCCACAAAAATGTCATTGGTACAGTGCCAGATGAAGGAGAGTAATTCTGTGTGCATGTAAACATATTTGGGCTTTCATTGAACATAAATATTGTGGCAAGTTTAAAAAAAAAAAAAAAAACATTTTTGTAAGCCATCACAGAGCCTATAAAGAGACAATGTTTGGCAAAAGTTTTGTGTCCTTAAGAAGCTCTGCATGAAGCACAGTTTAGCATACGTTTTATGGAATTATTATGGGCCTACCTTGGTTTTCAGTATACTGTATTAGGGAAGCTGGTGTTGAGAGGAGCAGGTGGAAATAAATCCAGCTGTTTAGAGCATAATCAACTCTAGATTAGACTGTGGTTTCGTCTTTGTCGTGGTTTCCTATGTGAAGAGCACTGTAAATGGTATTTAATAATATTGTTATTATTTCACTAATTATTATTGCCATTATTGGCTCAAACTATATTGCTTAGAACCTTGTTTTTCTTTTACAGCTGCTCTCAGACTGCCTGTTGCCCATGCAATCTGCTCTTTTTAGTGGGCCTGAACCAGACTGGTTTGCCCACCAAACATTTGCACAGCAATCTTTGTATATCATCTACCATATGTCCACTTATAGCATGTGAAAAAAAATTGCATGTGCAATTTAGCACTCCTTATTTTGAATAATTGAAGATCACTCTCTTAATGTACATAAAGTGATAAATATAACAATAAAAGACAGTTTTTCAAAATATGTAAAACGTACATTATTATAAACCTGGGGTATGTCAAAATCACTGCCAAAAACTTTCTTTGTGACAATTTTAATATTTCTACCTACCTAAAAACAATCAGAATGAGATACCACCTACCTTCTTTATAGGTTTCCAAAATGCGCACAATATAAGAGTCCGTGGTGTAATTGTCGAAAAAATCCTCCACAATCACTTTATACACTGAAAACAGGATATGTTTTGTTAACATCATTACCAGCGTTTTAATTAGAATTTCACAATATTCAAATAACTTACCAAAATCTATTTTGCTTGTTTCTGTAGATTCACAAGCTTTTTCTGCACGCATATCATTGCTGATTTTCTCCTTTCTCTGTTTATTGCAGTTTTCTAAGAATAAACAAAAACATGCCTCTAAGGGTTAGGTTGAGGTACTAAATCAATCAGTAACATATTAAGAAACTGTAATACTTAATTGTGATGTGCGGCAGGATGTAACACTTACAGTATCTACTGTCATAATCTGTATTTGTCATCAATATGCCTTACTCATCTGTTTTAATTTCCAATATATGTCTACCAGACTAATAAATTCTCTATTTAACTTTTTAGGGTTATTTTGTTTTTCTAGTTTGTTCACTGTTCTAAAGCAATAGATTATTCAAGAGATTTTTGCATGTTGGGTTAAGAAGGTAGTTTAGGCAATGACAGTACCTTCAGCACATAGACATCCCTCGTTTTGACAAAGCTTCAATAACTCGCCTGTTCTTCTCTTAGGGCGGTAAAATTTCACACACCGTTTCTCTGCAGCAATAAAAAACAAAACAAGTCATTACTTTGTAAATTAAGTATTGTGTGAAGTATTGATCAGAATATTGATCTTCAAGGAACTATATGTTCTCCCAAAGGAGAGGAAAGCTTTTAACTTGTTCAAGGCATGTAAATAGTAGAACTTTCCTGAAGTAATTATTCTCTCATCTAAAAACTTACTGTTATAGTATTCATAGACTGACACAGCAGCTGGTTGCAAGATGGCCACTTTCATCTCTCGTTCAATCCTGAAAGAGATTTCCTCGGGCTGTGTGTTAGAAACCTGCAAGGGGTAGTGGTAAACTCTAGATTATTTTAATTCCTATGCAAACACAATTGCTGTTCACACACTGGGAAAAAATTGAAATCTAGATAAGTCATTTTTTCTTAAAATAAGTGCATTTGTTCTTGGATTGAGGAGGTACAAGAGACACATGCCAGTAGAACAACACAAATTTACATTTAAAATAAGAAAAAAAAAAACAATTGCATTGTTTTATTTCAAGTGCATATTATCTAATTATCTTATTTTAAGAGTAAAAATACTCATTCCATTGGCAAATAATCATATTTACCTGCTCAAATTAAGGGTAAATACATTTCATTTAAGGAATTTTTACCTATTTCTAGTTCGTTTTCAAGTGCATCTCCATCCTCTTATATTGTGATACGAAACTTTAAAAGCAATTATGCAGTTATTTTAAGGATTTATTTATTTTTTTACTAAGGGTATAAAACACTGTGCAATTTCATGAATTTGAAAGACTAAATAAGCTACGGCGTACATTCTTACCTTACTGAGATAAATAATGAGGGAGCCCTTTTCTGACAGAACTTTGTTTGCCTCATATTCTCTAATGATGCGATCATGCCCTTTAGACAACTAGACAACCATAAAATTTTTTAAATGCCTTTGATTAGTACATATAAAATCACACATAAGATTGTTTTTTTTTTTGTTGTTTGACTGCGTCAGACTCTTACTGCATCCAGGTCATTTTTGTTAAAAGTGTAGCCTGTTGGAAAACCAACATCCAAGATTGACATTGATGCTTCACGCTCCCTGTTTTTGTACCTGAAAACACACACACACACACACACACACA